ACACTTCGAGTGGGCAGGCTCCTGCTACAGCCATTACCTCAAGGTAAAGAGGAGGGTAAACGAATTTTATGCTGCCAGCACAAACTGTTCTGAGGTATCAGAGAAAAGCTGCAGTGGTGATTAGGCTGTTCTGGGTGGTGCTGCTGTGTGACTGAGACCTTGAGTCCCACGAACTGCAAAATGGCCTCTCCCTGCCAGTAACTATCACCTTGATTCCTTTTGCATGTTTCTTCCCTAGCCATTCTATAGTTCTCCACCCACAGGTGCCCCAGCTGCTCCAATAGCTCTGCGGATTAAACTGCCCACTTAGTTGGTTACCTTCATTTTTCCCCTAAAGGACAAGGGAATTAGTTACAGCATTGGACATGACACAAAATTTGAAGTGACAAGGTATCTGGGCCCTAGCTTGGATACCAGTTTGTTGATACAGTGAACACCAAGAGTCAGTCAGAACCTGCCCTTATTAACTTTAAAGTCCTAGGTTTAATTTTAACAAAGAAAAAAAAATAAATGTAAAGCTGTAGCCCCTATATTTCATCTTGATTAGTCAATAAAGGGCAGGGCAGGGACAGTAACCATATAAGAAAATTTGATAAGACTCAATTAAAAAAAATTAACTTCATAATCAATCTAGCAAGCTATAACTTGAAGAAATAAGTTATAAGTCAGCAAAATGGGTTTTAACCTTATTTCATATGTAAAATATATGAAGCCTATCAGCTAGTGCTGAAAATAATGTCATTCAGTTATTAACATGACAATGACAGAAACATTCTATGCAGCAGGAATATATTTTCACCCCTTCCTTGTCTCCTGTATTTAAATAATCAATTCATAAAATGTGATCATTAAAATAAATGTTATTTTTAAAAAGACTGGAGAGCCCTATGGATATTATATAATTAGGCAATTGAGATCAGAAGCAAAATTCACTCTCTGGAAGTTTTCTCAAATTCCCAGTCTAAGCCTCCCCAGATAAGGCGGGCTCATCAGAGTCCTAAAGAAAATAACCTTGGAAAACTTCAAATTCTCCAGGCGGGCATGAGAAAGGTTTTGACTTAGACTTCTGAGGAATGATATTGCTATAGGGTAATTTTCCTCAGACTAATGACCGGATGGTCACAGTAGGAGAGAGATGATAAATATGCTAATTGAAAGGCCTTCGGTGCAGGTATTGAAAGGCCACAGCCACTTTGGTTTTTGTAATCAATAACATCAGGTGGCAGAAGCGATACAGCTATAGCATACCATAGTGCTCATCCCTAAAATATGCACTTCAGCTCATCTCAGTCCCGCCTCTCTGCTTCCTTGCTGCCAGCCAGTCTGTGGACAATCAGTCCACAAAGCAAATGATGCAGGCTTTCCATATGCAGGATACAAATTACTTTACATAGAAGTTGAGTGTTTCTCACCTTTTCATTATTTTCTGTTTCAGAGAAGGAGAGAAGGGGAGGAGAAAAAAGAACTGAATAATTTGCTTTAGAAGTCCACTGGGATTTCCAGGTCTTGTCAGAATAGTAATTGTCCAACCCCCCTCTTCCTCTTATGACTCCACACAGAAATGCAAAGGAAAAGGCAAAAATCAAATAGAAGATAAAGAGGAAAAGTATTTCTCACAAAATTGTGAGAGACAATTATGTTACTTCTAAAGATGCTCTTGATACATAAATTGGAATTAAGAGATACGAAGTATAATTCATGCGGGGCTTAGTTCAAGATGACAGACCTTTGAACTCATCTGTATTGCTTCTTGTTAATTGTCATTTAAATTGTAGGATTTCATGAAAAAGAGATATCCCACTATACAGATGAATATGTCTTTCATTTCCTGATTGCCTGATGGGCAGAGCAGGCCCAAGCATGTGGACAAATGGGCTGGATGTTCTAGGATTCTCTCTGCTATGGATCAACAAGAAGGAAGAAGGTCATGACAGTAGATGTTTCTGAAAAGGGCCTCAGTCAACAAGGCTGCCTCCTTTACTTCAGAGTCTGATTCTGAGATGGGAGTAGTATTGAAGACATCCAAATGGTTAATTCACCTGCCTCCCTCGAAAAGACCCTCTCCACCATCTCTTTTCTGAAGATATGCTCTAGTTCCTGTCAAAATGTAGAGTAGTCAAAGAGCATAAAATAACTTTCTCATGCACACATACCTCTGAAGAAAACCATTAGCTTCCAAACAAAGGAGCTGGCTGTTTCCTGGCTGAGAAGGAACTGGGTATGAAAAAGAAAGCCCTTGATTTCACAGATGGGCCCTGCCTAAAATCAAACCTATGAAGTCTCCCTCCTGCCTCCCACTCTTCTCTCAAACCTAAGTCAGGTTTGGTAAATGCCACTGCTTGCTAGCAATGGGAACCCTGTATGTCTGCTTCTTGTCAGTGGGATGTCACATCTCTCAGCATCTTCATTGGTAAAGGACACATTCCAGACAAGTGCTAACAGAAGCAGTGGCACCTGTTCTATTGTAAATCGGGTCAAAGCAATGAAATCCCTCCTGAATTTCTGTGGCCTAATCAATGATTCTGCTCTAATGAAACCACAAATCAGAATGGATTTACATAAACTGAGTCTCACTTGGTACCTCAACAAACAGCAAGTGATGGATTTTGCATTAAATTATAAGACCTACCTAACCATTCTATTGGTTACCAATAAATGCATCACTCTGAAAATTCCAATCAATCTTTAGGTATTTCTAAAGCATACCAGCTACAAATATGCTGATAGCCATGAAAGCAGATAAACCAGGGAAGATATTCTGATGTAATAGTGAGCCTACCACTAATTCTAGGGGCGATTTCTGGCTATCAACATACTAATTTTTCCTAAGAATTTTACCAAAGCCCAGAGCTCTCATGACCAATCACAGAAAGCTTAAGCTGAAAACATGCAATGATGAAATATACAACATTTTCATATATCAGAAGGTGCTAAGGAAGGGGCCAACAATTACAGGCTGCCACCTGTTTTCGTAAATAAAGTTTCATTACAGCATAGTCACACCCATTCATATACTTATGATCTGTGTTGCTTTCTTGCTAACTTACTTCGGTTACTTGTAACAGAAACCCCTTATCGGCAAAGCCCTTTATAAAGAATTTTTGCCACCCCAATGCTACAGAAAAGATAGAAAAAAAGAAAAATATGAGGTTACTTGATCTAAACTGCTATGCTGCTGGGACCTCCTTAACTCTGGAAGCTTCAAAGCTCAGATAAGAAGATAACATTTACTGGGTATTTCAGAATGTAAAGTATTTAGGGTAGGTATAGTTTTAAAATAATACCTATGACTTGAACTGGATTTTTTTTTAAGATTTTGAACAAATCATAAGTTCTCCTAATTCATCTAATTCTGCTTAGGTAAGAAGCTGCAGAGAGGAAGCGATACTTGAGCTGGGTGTTAAGACATAAGAATAAATTTAAGAGGCTATGAAGGGAAAGGGGTAGGGGATATAAAGATAATTTAGTTAATGGGTACAAAAATAGTTATATAGCCGGGCGTGGTGGCTCAAGCCTGTAATCCCAGCACTTTGGGAGGCCGAGGCGGGTGGATCACGAGGCCAAGAGACCGAGACCATCCTGGTCAACGTGGTGAAACCCCGTCTCTACTAAAAATACAAAAAATTAGCTGGGCATGGTGGCGCGTGCCTGTAATCCCAGCTACTCAGGAGGCTGAGGCAGGAGAATTGCCTGAGCCCAGGAGGCGGAGGTTGCGGTGAGCCGAGATCGCGCCATTGCACTCCAGCCTGGGTAACAAGGGCGAAACTCCGTCTCAAAAAAAAAAAAAAGTTATATAAAAGAAATTTATTGGATAGTACAATAGGTAATTAGAGTTAGCAATAAATTATTTTCTTTTTCAAAAGAGAAGAATTGTAATGTTCCCAACACAAAGATTAATTTGAGGTGATGGATATCTCAATTATCCTGATTTCATTATTACACATTGCATACATGTGTCAAAAGATCACATGTACACCCGAAATATGCACAACTTTATTGAAAAATAAAAATAGGCTGGGTATAGTGGCTCATGCCTATACTTCCAACACCTTGGGAGGCCAAAACAGGAGAACTGCTTGAGGCCAGGAGTTCAAGGCCAGCCTGGGCAACATAGCAAGACCTAGTCTCATATATATATACACACACACACACATATATACACACACATACACACACACACACACACATATACACATACACACACACACACACACACACACACACACACATACATAATTAGTTGGGTGTGATGGTGCATGCCTGTAATCCCAGCTACTTGGGAAGCTTAGGCAGGAGGACTGCTTGAGCCCAGGAGTTCAAGGTTACAGTGAGCTATGATCACACCACTGCACTCTGGCCTGAGAGACTGAGCAAAACTATCTATCTCTAAACTAATAATGATAATAAATAAAAATTTAAATAAAGAATGAATTTAAGGATGAAGGAAAATCCAGGAAGATGAAGCAAATCCATTTCTTCCCAATAATTAGCAACCAAGTCTTATTTATCTGATGCATCCTTGTAGATAGTAAAAAAGTTGCACATAAATCTAACCTATCAGTAAGGATTCCCCATACATCATTCTCTACCAGAGTATGGGAGCTGGTCCAATAGATGGAGCTGAAGAGAACACTTCCCAATCTCACTCATGAGAAAAATGTAATAATGATGATAATGGTTATTATTATAAGAACTATCATTAGCATTATTATAGGAACTATCATTTATTGAACATTGGTCACATGCTAGGCATAACGGTAGGTGCTTATGCATTATCCCATTTAATCTTCACAGCAGTCTTATCAAGTAGATACTATTATTATCCTCATTTTACAATTGAGGAGACTATGAGAGAGGTAAATAGGATATGCAACTTTTTAAGTAGCAGCACAGAGTTTTGGTCCCATGTTATTATCTTCACACTATTCATCAAACCCTCATGCCCCCCAAGGCCACCCCCAGCTTCACCCCAAGTATGGCCCACCACCAAGCTTACTTACCTCTACAGACACTGCAGCACTGATTCTCAGGAAGAATATGATCCTTTTCTGAGCAGTTCAAAGGAGGACACATTTCTGTAATTTTTACTAAAACTCCACTCTGGAAGCCAAATATTAGAGAAAGAAAAAGATGTTCACATTTTTAGTCAATGGTACAAATTTATAATGTTCTTTGTTAGTAGCCTGCAGTGATAACAATATATAATAATTAATACTCCCAGGGGTTCCACTAAAAACAATAATGCCACAAATTAAATTAATGAGACCCCTGGAATATAAGGTAAATTTCCCTTTCTAAATCCTAAAAGCCTAAAGTTCAACAGTTCTGAAGTATCTTCTATGGAGCAGAAGGATTCTAACAGTAATGTACTGATAAAGGTTTAACAACTGACTGTTGGGCAGGTAAGGCCTAATTTATAATATTTCCTAATTTCTGTGATGTAAATAGTGATGGCTGATTTTGAGCTATTAACATTACATCACTGAAAGCAACGTCGGGAAGTTATGTATAATTGAGCTTATGTGAGCCAGTTCTGGCCCACCCCTGGATAACAGGCATTGTGAACCCAATGACAGAGAACATATCTTCCTTACTATTTATGAGTTCTCAGTTTGGATGGAGAGGGAAATAAAGTCTTAGAAACTAGAAACCATAATACATAAAGAACAGTAAGTCTAAAAAATGTGCTTGAATAAAAGTACTATAATGTGTCTTAGAATAATAATTAATTCTGTTCAAGTCGGGAGGAATTATGAAGATGCCACATTTGGGGGAACTTGATTAGTGGAATAAAGGAAGACGACGCTATCCTGGCAAAGAGAACAGACAAAAGCCAAGGCGTGTAGGCAGAAATGAACTGAAAGGGGACGAGTTAGATGAACATGAGATTTTCCCTAGATATAAATAAAACCACTTACGATAACGTGTAAGATATTCATAAGGTGAATCTTTATGACCTTACTTCATCCAAGGTCTTTTTTGTTGACATTATTAGCATCTGTATTTTGTTTGATGCCAATTTTAAAAAAATATTTTATTATCATTTTTTTTTAAATAGTGAAAGTCTCTTATTTTATCTAAAACATTTACTTTTTCTCTCCCATTTTTAAAGGGATGCATAAGTCAACCAAGAAGCAAGAGGAGGAAGAGGTGTCTCATTTAAGGCCAAAAGGTAGTTCCCAACATAGGTAGAAGAATAAGGTGGAGGTGTACAGTCAAGAAGGGTGAAGGAGACAGTGTATTTTCCATTTTCAAAAGACTGTCATCCCAGTGGTTCCACAGTTCTCTGGTTTGGCAAGAACTCCCACTATATCAGAAATGGGAACAGTAACAATTGTATATGTCAAATATAAATTTCCAACGTCTCATCTTTTGGACTATTTGCACCATGGCTTCCTCTCTTTTCTTAGAATTTTGGGTCTAGACAGTCCAGCCTCTGGCATTCTTGGTTTTGTCTTATCTTCACCTTTGATCTTTATTCCCAAGGGAATTCTTACTTTTCTTCTTAGAATTGTCCCCAAGATCTAAGAATTGATGCTGCTACTCACTCTTTGCCCCACTTTGCAACTGCACTTCATTTTTACTCCTCAATCCAGATCATGATGGGTGGCCTCGAACCTCAAAAATTAGCTCCAGTCCTAAGGCAAGTGTCCCTACCTCATGTGCCTTGCCTTCCACAACAGGAAATCAAACCAGTTATTACAAATCAATGGAAGTTAGTAACCTTACTATCGGCAGCTAAATGTAGAGGAAAACACAATGCTGAATTACTTGCCAATATTGCCTCTAAGTCTGTCCTTCAATATTAATATATTTATTGATGATCTACTGCCTCCTGGCATAAATAAGAGTGGCTGACACTGTTGAATCCCTTTGTCAGTTCTATGTGCACACCTCTAGGTTTCTCAATGCTTTGCTGCAGCTGGCTCACCTGTCACCCTTAGAGCGCTGTCCTTGGGCACTGGAGCCATTTTGTCCATGCAGAGAGCCAGAATGTACACGCAAGTTCTACAATTCCCATGCCTGTGACCCAAAGTCAATGACTAAATTGTGCGGGATATTCTTTACCTCGAGGAAAGACAATCTCTAGGGTAGAATGCATGCGCCAGAAAATTTCACCTCTGTTCAGTTTCTTCCCCTTCTCCATCTGGCATCTCCCATACCCTCACTGGTTTCTCCTGGGGGCACTACCTTAATAAATCACTTGTACTAAAATCCTTAGCTCAGAGTCTCCTTCTGGGAGAATCCAAACTAAGACAATTAAAATAAATTTCACTGTTGCTGTCAAAAATCAAACTGTTAAAAGAGATTATCTCTAGGTGGTGAGATTCTGGAGTGATTCCCATTTTCTTCCTTATATTTTTCCCTCTATATTCCAAACGTGTAAGTATAGATTTGTTTTTATAAAAACAAAATGTTTTCAATGCCACAAAAGCCTTTTTAAAAATAATCACAAAAGCTTCTCTTTTTATTAAAAAAAAAAAAAAGGCTTGCTTCACTGATTAAACCAGTCAACAATTCTAATCAACCTTTAACATATTTAATGAGTAAGATCATAATCTCAAATATTTAAATGGAGACAAACCTTTTTACATGAATTTGAAAATAATGTGAACTGTGATTACCGTTGCATAAGTGTCACCAAATCCATTTAGTCCAGCTACATAATTAGGCACAAACATTTTATAACTTTATTTTCAAAACCATCTCTAGTAAGAATTACCTGATAATTAACATTTTTTAATCCTTCTGATTATGGTATGTTATTTTACAACCCCTGGAGTTCTGTGTTGGTGCAAAAATACAATTCCTTTTTTCTTTCTCATTTAGAGTGGCTGTCTATACATTGGAGACACTCATATATACAATGAGTGTATATATCTCATTGGTCAAATATATACACTTACAAGCTCTGTACTAATCATCGTGCACTAACCTGAATTTCTAGCAACATACAAAACTCACAACTTCAAGTCAAAAATTGTTGCTAGGATAAAGAAATTTTGCAGAAAAGCAATAATTGGGCAAAATTAATAAGACTGTTAGGAAAGTTTATTCATGTTGATTTTTTTAAAAATTATGTTAACTCCTGGAAATACTTGGTGAAAATATTTGAAACAAGACCTTGTTTTTTGCCTAATTGGTATTGCTGTAGCTTTAAAATGATCCCAGGAAAATGAAAATGGATGGATCTCCAGGCATCCTTTTGTCAACTGACAATCTTCATCTGAATGACAGAATGTCAAAAATTATTTTATCAATTATTTCCTCAATCCTCCCAAGGATAATATTTTCATAATATTATTTTACATGCCTAAGAGAAAGCTTAATTTATTGCATACAACAGACTCCATAGAGCATTAGGGCTTAAATCTTGAGAAAAGCTGCCTGGGAGAAACCAGAGGCCCTTTGATCCTATACCCATTACCCTCACTCTCTGCTGACAATACCCATTAAATATGTCCCAAAGCTCTTCCGTGCCGTTTTATACATGCTACCTTTATCAAAGGAACCAATGGGCCATAGCTTGACCAATTGGATATTCTCAGATAGACTGAAAAGTGCTCAGTCAATCCTTTTCCATCTACCTCTCTAAAATTCATAAATTAGAATTATTTCCAAGTCAGTCTAACAATGTCAGGAGTGGCAGTAGAAAGGCTAAGAGAGGAGGTTGTAGGGCCGAACCACGCAGGTTCTGATCCCAGCTGGCTCACTCACTACTACCTATGTGGCTTTGTTCTTCTGTGCCTCGATTTGCACATTAGAGTATTACCTTCTACACAGAATTATTATGAGATTTAAGTGAGACAAATATGTTTTAAATGCTCTAAATTGTGCCTAGAAAATAGTAAGTGCTCAAAAATTACTAAAAATTATTGTCAATAACTCTTTCTTGTATACAAAGTAACTATTCAGTAAATAACTATAGAAACACAATAAATGGAAAAATTAATAACATTTTACACAGAATTATTCACATGCACTCACATACACGCACACACACATTCACTACTTGTGCAAGAGAATAATCTGTCTGCCCCAATTTCTTTCTAAATTATAATTAAAAAAAAAAAAACAGTAAAAGATGAACCCAAGTGTGCAGAGCAGCTGCAGTGTGCCGGTAACAGTAGTAAGTGCTAACTAAATAAGCTGGCATTCAAATCCATGCCCTATCACCAGAGTGAGCAAAATTGCCTTTAATCATCCCAGATTTTCCTGGGATCAAAGACAAAAGCAAGGATTTTAGAGTCCAACCATTTGCCCTTCCTAGAAGTAAAACAACGTTCAGAGAGCATGTATCTGTCCTAAATTCATGGAGGACATGCATGGTCACGTGGAATAATAAAAATAGCTCACATTTATTGAGGATGGTCTTTGTGCTAAGCACTGTACTAAGCTGTCCATGTGTTTTATCTCATTTAATCCACACAACATCCCTGTGTGAGAATGTGCCAGCTATAGATTATTGACCACCCCACCTGCTCCCCTACTTCCAGCTCTGGGAGCTTCCTTGTTGATCAAGAGATCATAAAGCCCTTGCTATCACACCATCCCTGCCCCTGCCACTGAGTGGAGAGCCCCTACACCCAGTATCCACTGATGCAGAGAGACCACCACACCTGCACATCCACCAGACTGCCTGGACTCATGAAATCTCTGGCATTCCTAGTAGCAGCCAGGAGGGCAAGAATGGGAATCAAAATAGGGAGGTTCAAGGAAGCTAACCTTCAGGGTACAGTCTGGCCAATGAGAGACAGAATATAGGGAATGCCTTTCCTTCCCAGCCCTCCATAAAGAACAAGATTCAAGCTCTTCTTTTATTAGTATTTTCTTGAGTGCTTCTACAAGTCTCTAAATGCCTTGTTCTTTTCAATCTTTAAGATACATTCCTGTCTTTTCCCCAGGGATGTGATGAAAAGAAAATGAAATAATGTAGGTAAGAGCACTTGTGAAAATGGTCTTTTCTGAGACACAGTGGTTTCTGTCAGCTTCTTAGGAGACGCCTCACAAAGCCAGCTGTGCTTTGTTGTTGGGTCCTGGTTTTTCTGATATGCACTGTCTTGTACTTGCTCTCCTGCCTTTCCTTCCATACTTTCATCTGTGCCTCACTCATGCATTCCTAGGACTATACCTTTCCCCCTCCTCTATCCATTCCCATCACCACCAAAGAATAAATACATAAAGCTTCAACACAAATGCCTAGGCTCCCGGTTTTATTATCTAGAAACCAGGATCAGATAGGTAACAAGTGTTACTATTCTGACAGTGTGTTCCAGCTAATGTTACAAAGAAAAGGAATGACAGTTCAGCACAAGGCACTAGGCAAAATGTTCCACATTTCTCCAGGGCTGGTGATGTGCCTGTAATTGTCTTTCATTATGTTGCAGTGGGAATGATGAGGAGAAAAAAAAAATTTGCAGGAAGAAGTAAGAACCTTCACTTTGACTTCATAATCTAAAGTGATGTTCTCCAACCCAGCTCTTACTAGAACCCAATAAGGGAGAAGAATACAAGGAACCCTGAACTTCACTATTAGGTAAAATTTCAGTATTTAAACCCAAGTCCACCTGACTGCAGATTTTGACCTTTCAACCACAATGCTATATTGTGAAAGTAATTAATCTTACCCTCTTACCCTCCAGAGGAAAGAAGTAAAGCCACTGGATAGAAGTTATGGAGAGTAGATTTTCACCCACTTAAAGGAATCCTCTGATTCCTAATGTTTTCCAGGCATGGAAATCCACTAACCTAGTAGGTTAGTAACTTCCCATTATGATATGTTGGAGATGAGTTTTTTGTTTTGTTCTGTTTTGTTTTTGTTTTTTTACTATTTTTTTTAGATGGAGTCTCACTCTGTCACCCAGGCTGGAGTGCATTGGCACGATATCGGCTCACTGCAACCTCTGCCTCCCAGGTTCAAGCGATTCTCCTGCCTCAGGCTCCCGAGTAGCTGGGATTACAGGCATGCACCACCATGCCCAGCTAATTTTTGTATTTTTGGTGGACACAGAATTTTGCCATGTTGCCCTGACTGGTCTTGAACTCCGGACCTCAGGTGATCTGCCTGCCTCAGCCTCCCAAAGTGCTGGGATTACAGGCATAAGCCATCAAGTCTGGCTGGAGGTGGGTATTTTCAAGCAGAAAATTATATCACAAAGTCTTACTACAATAGCTGGTCTCCAAAGATGCCTTTCTACCTAATGAATCATGCCTCCTGGTATTCATGTCTTTGTATTATCTGCCTCTACAATAAACCTGGCCTAGGCCTGTATAACCTTTAGACTGTAGAAGAAATGATGATCCAGTTTCGAAGACTAGGTTATAAGAAATATTGGCACTTTCACCTTGGTCTTTAGAGAGTTTATTCTGGGAGAAGCTGGGCACCATGTGAGAAATCCCTGAGACCACTATGGCATAAAGAAGCTCAATGGGCTGGGCGAGGTGGCTCACACTTATAATCACAGCACTTTGGGAGGCTTAGGCTGGCAGATCACAAGGTCAAGAGTTCAAGACCAGCCTGGCCAAAATGGTGAAACCCCGTCTCTACTAAAAATACAAAAATTAGCTGGGCGTGGTAGTGCGTACTGTAATCCCAGTTACTCAGGAGGCTAAGGCAGGAGAATTGCTTGAACCCGGGAGGCAGGGGTTGCAGTGAGCCAAGATTGTGTCACTGCACTCCAGTTTGAAAGACAGAGCAAGACCCTGTCTCAAAAAATAAAAATAAAAAAAAAAAGCCCAAGGTACCTATGTCTAGAGACTACAGAGAATAAGGCACACTCACACACACACACACACATATGGAGAGACACAGAGAGAGAGAGAGAGCACAAGACAGAGAGACAGAGAGAAATCTCCTTCTACTCATCTTTGTTGAGGTACTACTCACAAAAGTAAAGAAGCCATCTTTGATAGCCAGCTATGTCAAGCCTTCACAGGATTCTAGCTCCAGCAGCCATCAGATTGCAATTGCATGTGAGAACCCAACTGAGAATCATTAAGCTGAGCCCATTCAACCCATGCAACCATGAGAAATAATCACAAAATCTAAGTTTCAGAGAGTTTGTGTAGATAGCCAAAATCCAATCAAACTCAAGATGCCTAAACCTGACCAGATTTGCTGTCCACTCCCTCCTCACCCACAAAGCTCCTCCTGAATGTCCCTCTTCCTGCATCAGTATCTCATCATTACCTAATGAAGAGAGCAATTATCACATTTTGGCTTCTCCTGATCCAGTCTCCCTTACCATGAGTACCACAGTGTTCTCTTAGGGTATATTTTCTCCACTGCATGCACTCTTAATGAGGTGGTAATTCCAGGTAACTGGCTCCTTACACAGAGGAAAGGGGTTGAATTTTTCCCCATCCTGAACAATCAGAGCTCGGACATATGGTCCAACCTTTGCTAATCACATGTCCTCTCTCTGGACTTTAGTATAAGTGACTCCAGGACAGTAGAAATGGCTGAAAGTCACAGCAGCAAATGTGCTTGCCAGGGTCCCCGCTACTAGACCACTGCTATGGTTTCTGTTTCCTAACTTCTGGGACTCCTTAGTCTCTACCTAGTATCAAGCCTGGTCTGGCCCTTTGGGGCTTCTGTGAGTCTCCCAATATCATTTTAATAACATCGTCATTTTTACTTACATTAGCCAGGGGAGGCTTTGGCTTCTTGAAGCCAAAAATAGAAACTAGTATTCCCTGCAACTATACCAGAAACCTGGACATCATCTGGGTTTCTCCTCCCCATCATGTTTGCCTTCCCCAAACTCAATCACTTGAGTCCTTTCAATTCCATTTCTTAAACAGCTCTCAAATCTCTTTTCCTCTACATCTTCACTCTCACTGCCTTCGATGAAGACCTTAGGTCATTTCTTACAATTATTTAAATTAATCTGGTGCTCCTCCAGTCACTCCCCACATTGCAATCACAGTGACCTTTGAAAATGCACAGGTGCTCATGACACACACACACACACACACACAGAGAGAGAGAGACAGAGAGCAAGCGCAAGCGCATCAGTGAACTCTCATTTCCATCAAGATCAAGTCCAAACCAGGTTCATTCTCACTTGTTCTATCTGTCCAGGTTCAGGTTCATCTCTCTTCACTCTCCCGCATGTGCACTAGAACTTCACCCAAGTCAAATTATTTGCAGCTCCCTAAGTAAAACCTGTCTCTTTACTGCTCTAGGCATTTGTGAGTGCAATTCCATTTGTTTGGAACATGCCTTCTCCCTCATCTATCTGGGAAGCAATTGTTGGTTAAGTAATCACTCACCCAAACAACTGCATGGCTGGCTCCCACACCTTACCCAGGGCTTTGTTCCAAAATGACATGTCAGAGAGGTCTTCTCAGTTCACCCATCCCCACCTCAAACCCCTCTATTCCTTCAGCCTACTTCATACTTTTAGAGAATTTGACATTATATTATATATTTGTTTAATTTCCTACTGTCTGTCTCACTCACTCGACTGTAAGTTCTACAAAGACAGTGACTTTATTTCATTCACTGTTGTATATCCAGAACCCACTATAATGCTGTCATATAGCATTTGCTCAACGAATATCTGTTGAATGATTATTGAATAAGATCTATGATTTTCATGTCTTATTTCCAGTAATACATGGAAGGGGGGCAGGCAGAAGAAAGAGGCATTTTAACAGTACTTCAGCCCTCTGGGAGTAGAGTTAGTATCATTGCCACAAGCATTACAGATGGATTCCCCTAGCACGAACTCAAAACCCTTTCCCAGGGCCACCCACCAGCCTCTCTAACTCATAGTAGCTGTTAGTTCTTTCTTCTCTCACATTATTCCCTTAGTAGTTTTTTCCAAGGCTCCCTGATCCACAGCTGACCACAAGCTAAGCATATAAATGACAGTGGCTGTATCCTCCCCATCCTGTACTCCAGCCCACCACAGAGAGTTCTGCCCCTCAGGGACCTATCCAGGCCAATATGTCCCACCCAAGAACCTTATCTAAAGCCCACACATCTATCTATTCATTTTCTAGAAGTGACAGGGACCATAAAATTAAAACTTACTCGGCATTCCCGACAGGTCTTGGTTAAAATCCGCTGGCCTTCTGCAAGGACTTTTCCTCCATATATACATTTTGCTGTAATAAAACATAAAAATGGGTCAGACAGTCATGCTGTGCAACAAAATGACCTCAGAGGTGCCTTCCAACTCCACTAGATTCCACAGAAACCTAGATTCTCTGCTTCTGAGCAATACAAATCTCTTTGTCTAAAGTGAAAGACATGGGAATTGTGTGGAGGATAACCCTTAAATCTTTCAGGCAGGCCTCATCATGATTGTGTTTGCCGTGCCTTCACAGCCAGGATATACAATTATTTCAATGTTACAGTTGCCAAAGGAACTAGAGAATGAATTGATGTAGTAAGAAGCCAAAATGAGAAAGAATGGTTGCAGTCACTGTGGAGTACAATTAGCAGTAGCTTTGATTCAGACACTCCAGCTAAAACAAACAACTGGGTGAAAGGGGACTCACATATATTCCATTCCTCAGAACCTCAGCCACAATGGAGAAGAACGCCATTTCTTTTTCCTTGTGATCATGGGAGTGGGCGTGAGAAATACACATGCGAAACAAGTGAGAAATGCAAGGAAAACCTGTAAAGGGCTAGATCAATGCACTAGAGAGACTGCCTTGGAATAGTGAGTTTAAAAGGCTACCAGGAAGGCCAGGGGGTGGACTTGTAAAACATTTCAAAGAGAAGTATAAATGGAGCTCCCACCACTCAATTTAGATTCCACTGAAACTCATTTCTTGACTTAACTGGCTGATTCACTTTTTTTTTTTAGACGGAGTCTCACTTTGTCACCCAGGCTGGAGTACAGTGGCATGATCTCGGCACGCTGCAACCTCCACCTCCCAGGTTCAAGCAATTCTCCTGCCTCAGCCTCCTGAGTAGCTGGGATTACAGGTGCGCACCACCATGCCCAGCTAATTTTTTGTATTTTTAGTGGAAAGAGGGTTTCACCATGTTGGCCCCAGGCTGGTCTTGAACTCCTGACCTCGTGATTTGCCTGCCTCAGCCTCCCAAAGTGCTGGGGTTACAGGCATGTGCCACAGCACCTGGTCCTGACTCACTTTTAAGCAAGTACAGTGTATGCCAATTTGATACCCTAATATAACACCACCAAATTCTCTAGACACTTCAACAGGAAAAAAGAACCAAAGATCTGGTCAATCCCTCTTCTGCCCTGATGAGGATCCTTCTAGCTCCAGCTCTAGGAGGAACAGAAGCAACAATATGCACTTTAAGAGATCTCTCCCACTAATTTGGTGTTGGTTGTATAGAACCACCTCACCTTTCAGAGCCGCTATATCTGCATCTGTTTTAAAAAGAGTCTGATTAAATTTGACGGTTTTCTGGTTATAAAATCCTCTAATTCTCAGGGGATGTTCAAGTATTCTTCATTCAAATAACATTTCAGTGCTACGAAAGGGTAGGCGACAGGCTAACTGTGACATGTTGCAAGAAACAACACTCTTTTCTCATGGAGCTTACAATCAGGGAAATAGACAGCAATTACATAATCACATCAGTGAATGTATAATTACTAAGTGAGGCAAATACTATGTTTGCAGATGAAGAACCTAGACCCCTTTAGATGTTGAAGGGTAAGAGTTGAAATGCAAAGAGGGTGACCAGGTAAGATATGAAGGTTTCATTCCTGCCTTCCAGTAAAAGAAAAACAACTTAGTAATCATCTAATCCATTTTAGCCACAGGAAGGGGAAAGTCCAGGAACATGCTTTACTTATCATCATATGCTGTAGTGGATGCTATGCTATGTGGAGATCTCCTTCCATGAGCAAAGGATACATTGTTACAACTGCTGTGACAGTTGGCAACTAACAGCTCTCCCCTGAATAGAGATCTAAGACTTGCATAGGGCTGTAGAGAGCCACCTTGCCCAAGGGGAAATTCCCTTGGTTGACAAAGATGGTACACAGTGAGCACAACCCTGAAAGGCCATTCCAGCTCCAAAGCTCCCTGCAGGAATGAGTTAGGCATTTGTTGTAACCACTGCAGCTCAACTTCTCCTTTATGCCCAATTCTTCTTCCTTCGCCACCTCACTTCCACCCAGAATTGATTCTGAGAGCACTTCCTAATAAATTACATGCAAATCTCTATCTCAGAGTTGGCATTCCCTCAGAACCTGACCCGCAGCAATCTCACTCCCCACCCATATAGGTTCCACTCTAGCGTTCTCCTCTCACTGAATGACCATGGCATGGGTATCCATCCCAGTGCCCACACTCCAGTGCCTGGCATCCTTCTAACCTCTCCCTCTTACACAACTCCATGTCCAATCAGTGCCCAAATCCTAGTAATGTTCCTTTCTTAAGTTTCTCAAATCAACCTCTTCCTCTCCGTTCCCCACCCTCTGCCCCCTGACCCTGTCTTTGTTCAGGCTGCCATCATCCCCCTTCTTCAGGACTACCACAACCTCCTAGCACTCCCATGTCCTAGTCTCAGTCTTCTCCAGTCCTTCCCCATATAAAAGTCAGACACATATTTTTTAAATCCAAATATGAGGCCCTGCTTAAAATCAGGGTCCCTAAGGCTGTGAGAATAAAGTCCAAAATCCTAAGTTCAGCAAACAAGGCCATTCATGAGTCTGTTTATCTCCCAAGGTTCACAGCCCACCATTTCCTGTGCTTTTACTCACCCTCCCAAACATTCACACCTCCACATATGTTCTAACCATGCTTTCTCTCTCACTTCTGGGCCTTACATATACTGTACTGTTCTCTTCCTCAGAAACACCTGCAGAACTCCCCATCCACCTTCCACTGGCAACCTCCCACTCCATATACTCATGAGCTTCCACTTAGGGCTGACTTCCCTCCAGAACTTGTTCTTACCCTTTAACACTGGTTAACCGTTCTCACTTTTTGATTATATTATACTTGGGACCTAATCCTAACAGAATATATATCACATGCTGTCCTAATTTCCCATTTAATTATACACCCCACAGTGCCCCTGCTGCTAACTGCAACCCCCACATCTAGAATTTTATCTCCAGACCCAAGCTCCATGCCTCTGGACTTATTGTGAGTAATAATAAATCATTTTCAAATTAATGCACCTCTAGTAGGTGGCAAAAACCAGTCAAATTTCTTGATCCCCAGGTAAGTGTTATTTCTGGCATTCAATATAACTTCAAAACAACTGAGAATTAATATAATTGTCTGGATAGGTCCTTTCCTCCCTTCACTAAACAAATATCTATCCCTGATCATCTTTTATGCCTTAATTTTGTAGATAAATCAGTTGGCCATGACTCATTGGTCCTAATGAGGATCTGGATTTCCCAGTTTACTTGCATGGGGAGACCACACCTCCAAGTCCTGGAATTCCTGTCTAATAAAGTCCCACACTCCCAAATGTGGCTACTGCCAACTTGGCAAGGCAGCTTGCTCCAGAGTGACAGTTCTGCTAAGCGTGCTGTTGTCAAATCTACCATCTGCTTCTTGGCCAAGCTGGAAGCAAAGAAATAGACATTTTTTCTTCCTTTGCCCCTTGCCACTCCCACAACGGTATTAACACATTTGCTTCCCAGCCTTAAGGCACTTGTCCAAATCCTCTCTTCCCCTTTGACAGGCTCATCCCAGGACTCCTATGTGGAGATAAAAATGCCTCATTGTTTACATTGACACCACACATGGAGACACATCCACCCCTAAAATCCACCAGTCTGTTATAAAAATTAAATGTCCACTGAACTTTATGTCCTCACATAGCAGGGTGCTTTGGTGGCTGCTGAATGAGATCAACATGTTACTGCACTCCTCAGCCATTTGCAATCTGGCACTGGTGCAGAATGTATCTATCTATGAAATTATCTTAGGACGACTTTCAGGATCACCAGTGGAGGTCACAAGAATTTCTCCTGCTTTCTCATACTCATCTCCACTTCTCTGACAATAGCGCTCGTTCCCTGCCACCGCCTTCCTATGCCTGACATCAGTCCTCATTATCCAACCTCTGGATCTACAGCCAAAGGGCTTATTACTTATGTCTGAGGAAATTCAAGCATAAGGTGAGTCAGGCTCTAGTGCCTTCGGCTGGGGCATTTGGGACTCCATTCCAACAGCATACAGTGTGAGTAGAAATGTAAATGGATACCTAAAGCTCTTCATATCAGACTGGCGACATGCAAATTAGAATATTTCACAGTGCCTGACCACAAAATTGAAACCTAGCACCAACACACACTTCTCCATTATATCAGAAACAAATGTACTGAGGATATAGAGTTATGCAGTTATATATTTTGGCACCCACAGACACCTGGCCCTTCAAATTTGACCTTGATTTTTCTAGTGCAATGATTGGACACTTTTGCCATTCGGGTGCACACTGAATAAACAATTGACAGGTACTGCCTGATGTCCCTGTCAGATGTGGATGTAAGGTTTCACTATATTTATTGAGGTATTTGTACCCTGCACACACTCCAGTCATCCCTTGGTCCTCAGTGGCTTAGAATGTCAAAATCAGCACACTGTTTTACACTTTAAAGGAGAGTGGCAGATCAGAGAGACTGAACACCCAAGGATCCTTCCTCACTCAGTGAGCTAATTCACAGCCTTGGCTTCAGATACCACCTCTATAAGCAAGACACCCACATCAAACTAGTTGTCCCTCAGGCAACTCTAACTCAAACATGCCAAACGGAATGTACTGCTCGCCAAGCTGCTTCCTCCACCTGTCTTATTTCTGTTCATCACACTATGAGTCTCCCACAGGCTCTTGTTCAAAACCTGGCAACTTCTCCCTCGCAGACGCTCTGTCCCTGATCCATTTGTCTCATGCAAAACAATACCTGTGGAGTATCTCTCATGTGCCAGGTCCTTTGGCTGTCACCCACATCTTTCCCTTCCTCTGCATCTTCCCAGGCTGTACCTGCCTGTCAGCCTCAACACCTCCACCTAGAATATGCCCACATTCCATACTCCCCACCACCTCCGGCTCTCTTGATGCAGTGGCCTTTCTAAAACACATCTTTGATTGTGCCACAACTCTGAATTAAAATCTTTATTAGAGTACCAAAACCAATGTTGGTTTATTTCCA